GAATTTGTTGGATGATTCAATCGAGAGAAAGTTTCCATCCCTAGCTGCAACCAGGAGTTTACATCAAGATGAATTATATCTTTGAATAATACACCCCAAAATTATGTCATATTAAACTTTTATTTTTCATATGCTTATCCTTTCCTTTAAAAGGTGATCAAAATCCAAATCTAAATATTTTTATAAATATTTTTCAAATTCATAACTTTGATGCAATCCAACAGGATAAAATATATTTTTAGGTCAATATTTCATCATAATTCTGATTTCTTGTTGTTTTCAAAATGATTGACCATCAAGTTCATGAGAATTATTAAACATAATCAGATTATTGTTAAACAAATTTTATTAAGAATTGATTTTCAAGCGAAATTTTATTGTTTATGATGTTTTTAATAGTTCATTTTTTGGCCTTTGTGAGTTGATCTTGAGTTTTAGAATGTATTCTTGTCACAGAATGGGATCCACTTTTTGGAGAATAAAAGTCTAAGCGTGAAAAAAGTTTTTTAATTAATTGTTCCCCCCACCCCCTCCCCAAAAGCATTTTTTTAACCAACGCGATTCAAATAGACCTCACTTATTTTTGTAGCCTTGTTTAATTGTGTCACACCCCAAATTAACCTAGGTAACCATACATAACTATTCATTAATATGTGTGGAAATGAAATTGATGACTCGACTTAGACATAGAAAGTCACTAAATGCATTTTTTTCACTTTATAAAATGAAACAAGCATCTTCACAATTATTTCCCTGTTTGTTAACTCCTAATCACCTGTGATGATCCTATAGTATATCGAAATCAAAGATCATATAACTATAATTCAACACAAATGTTCTAAAGTTATAAACATATCTACAAGCCATTTCAAAAGTTATACAATACAAGATCCCTAAAATATAATATAATAGACTATAAGCTCCACAAAATAACCGTATAGATCGTCATCCATGTACGTCAAACTTTGGAATCTTGTAAGAGCTCCACAGCTAGCCATGATCTTTACGTAGTTCCATGCTCACCTACAGTGCAAAAATTATATAAGCTAATGCTTAGTAAGCAAAAACCAAGCATGTCATGAGTATGAGTAACAACGATATATAACCCTATGTCATTCATTTTTTAAACATTATACTAAAAATGCATCATATTCTAATATTCATCAAAGTCAACTCGAAATTATTTCATTTGAAAGTTTTCATTTCATTAGATCCTTGACCCACCTACTATGATAGAGTTCTGCATAATATCAATATCAATAATCAATAATCAAATGGCCAACATGAAATCGACACCGACGAGTGGACCATTCTCTCGTGACCACTAGAGGTCCATCCCCTATCTCTATGATCCCTCAAGAAGTATCCCATCCAATAGCGCCAATAATCATAATATCAAAAGGGTATAGTCGAGTGGTCCACCCTTCCGTAATCACCAAAAGCCCATCCTCTATCTGCCTTTGCAATCACTCAGGAAGTATCCCCAGCGATGTCAAAACATATCACATAAGCATGCCTCACATGTCTCGGTGCCCTAGTAGTGGTCAATAAAATATATATAAGGAAAATTCAATTTAAAATTATATTTCACATGCAAGATTTTCAACCATGATCACATGTCGTGCATGTCTATGAAAAATGCTCATAAATGACATATTTAATAAAAATCGATGTCAATAGGTTCCACAACCTCATACTCAACGATCATAACCCTCATATGATGTGTAATAAGCCTTTTATCAAAGTTATGTAAATATTTCAATACTACCATATCACCAATACTAGGTTCTCGCATCATAGTTAGAAATGGATTTTTACTTACCTTTTGCTCTTGTGTGTGCAAGCTCTTACGGTTCCTCTATCTGCCTTTGCAATCACTCAGGAAGTATCCCCAGCGATGTCAAAACATATCACATAAGCATGCCTCACATGTCTCGGTGCCTTAGTAGTGGTCAATAAAATATATATAAGGAAAATTCAATTTAAAATTATATTTCACATGCAAGATTTTCAACCATGATCACATGTCGTGCATGTCTATGAAAAATACTCATAAATGACATATTTAATAAAAATCGATGTCAATAGGTTCCACAACCTCATACTCAACGATCATAACCCTCATATGATGTGTAATAAGCCTTTCATCAAAGTTATGTAAATATTTCAATACTACAATATCACCAATACTAGGTTCTCGCATCATAGTTAGAAATGGATTTTTACTTACCTTTTGCTCTTGTGTGTGCAAGCTCTTACGGAGATTAGATCACTTTCCTTTTTCACTCAACGTCAGAAAGTCACCTGTATTACCATCTAATATTAAAGACAATCCTCAATTGAGTAGCCTTAAAACACACAATCCCAAAATACGTCCATTCATATCAAAATAATTTAAACGAATTCATCATTTCAAGTTTCTAACGACATTACAATCTCATCCCATAAATTTCGCTATTTCTTGAGTCCAATTATGAATATCAATGTCATCCAATTGTTGTCAACAACCTAACACTTCTTAGAATCTATTTTCTAAGCCCAAGAGATAATTAATTGACATGTAATGGTTGAAATCACATTAAACATACAAATGGACAGAACTTGTTTTCAGATTTTCATTACCGTCCAATTATTTTTTCAATCCTTTCTCACACCCTTATCTATATCCGACGACTCCCAAATTTTTACCACACTTCTATAACATGTATTTGAAGTAATCAAGCTCTAAATTCGTGACAAGTGAAGTGTTTTCAACCTCAAAAATTGTCCCTTTTTCACCACACCAAATCAAGCAGTTGTATTTTCCTTGTGACGATTTTCGATTTTCCATTGTATTAGTATGCCACCAATAGAATTCTAGGCCATTAACATCATTTCTATACTTTATGCTTGCATATAAAAACATTCATATTTATAAATATTAGTTACACTCTAATTATCATCCGAAATCAAGATTGAAACCATTCAATTCTAGCAAATCCACATCTCTGTCCAGATTGCTTTCTTTCAAGTTCTTGTAATTAATTACCCTTATTTTGGCATCATAAAATCAGTAACAACACTCCATCCTAATTACAAGAAAGTTTAGATATTCAAGACATTATAAATCTCTCAAGAAATAATGGATACAAACCTCAAAACCATAAAGTAACTTTACAATCCACAAATTCCAGCTTCTTGTTTCTATTTCTCTTTGACTTTTTTTTCCACTTGGAATCACTTAGGGACGAGATATGAGAGCTAATATATTATCTAGGAGATATATAAGTGGTCTTTAAGTAGTTGAGGTCGTGCCTATTGCATAAGGATTAAGGATATTGTGGGATACAGCCACGTCAAGCCATCAAGGTGAGTAATAAGCAGGTGGTGGCTTCTTTGCAGCCTTGCTTGACTTTTCTCCTATTATATTTGGATATTTATTACTTATAAGATATATAGATCCATCCTATATTAAGTCTTAGGGAGTAGGACACGAAATTTATGCCTTAAGTCTAAAGGAATTGGGTATTAAAATGATAAATATCCCAAACATGAGGTGAGTAAAAAATCTGATTTTATATCTATCCTTGTATGTATAAATCAAGTGTCCTTAGCTCATTTTAGTGTGTTTACAATCTATTTTACTTGCCCTAAGATCCCAACAGATTTTATAGGACTAATTCCTTAACCGTTACTCAACTGAAACCCGATTTTCAACTGACTTCAACAATTTGCATCTCAATATTTATAACATCATATGAAACATATATTATTGCATCATGATCATGTCACTTCATACCTGATGTCCCAAATATGTCAATTACTTATCTAGGGTTTAATGGGACCTTGATCAACCGAATGGAAAGTTTGAATCTTTGTTGATACTAATTTCCAATCTTTCGATATTCCATTATTTATCAAGTCAATCTCCAACATTTAGTTAACCTAATTTTCGATCATAACTCAATGTAAAATCCACCACTTAGGTCTAGGAGTTGAATACTAACACCATATAAAGATCTCTAAAACCTCAATAATTCGAATGCACCATTTTCAGCTACAACAATTAGGATAATTAATGCAAATGACATTATAAATAGCATAAAATGCATGAATCATATTGGCCAAATGTATAACGTGAAGTTCGTGGTATTACAAATTGATTTTATGTATTGTTAGATTACAAGAATAATAAGTGATTTTATACTTTATTTTTGTCTATTTTCAATTTGACAATAAAATATTTTTTCAGAATAGTAAATTAAGCCCTTGTTTGGTCTCCATTTTAATGGAAATTTGAGGAAAATTAAGTTTTAAAATAGTGATTATTTAGAGGACAATGACTCAGTAAGATATGAATGTTAGGTCAAATAAATAATTCATTTTAAACTAAACCCATATAACGTGAAGTTCGTGGTATTACAAATTGATTTTATGTATTGTTAGATTACAAGAATAACAAGTGATTTTATACTTTATTTTTGTCTATTTTCAATTTGACAATAAAATATTTTTTCAGAATAGTAAATTAAGCCCTTGTTTGGTCTCCATTTTAATGAAAATTTGAGGAAAATTAAGTTTTAAAATAGTGATTATTTAGAGGACAATGACTCAGTAAGATATGAATGTTAGGTCAAATAAATAATTCATTTTAAACTAAACCCATGGGTTTGATTAAAATCTGATTTTAATTTAAGTCGAAATTAAATAATCAATATTACTCACATTTTTAATGGATTACACAATTTTTCAATCACACATTTTAAAATTTTTTATTATAATTTACTAAAAATATAATTTTAATCTTCATCAAATATCATGTAAAATAAAAAAGCGATTTTTTGTTGAATAGAAATGGTCAAAAAGTCTTGATTTCTTGGATACTTCACAACCCGCTTTTTGACATCTTATTATCAAATTACTTGATAGCATTAAAACCACGCTTTACAGGACCCACACTAAAATCGTTATTTAAATCAACAATTTTGAAAAAGTAGTACTGCAAAATGAGTAATTTTCGTTTAATTAGTCAAATCAATTAAAAGCGATTATAATTACACACAGAGAAACAGATAACCACCAATTTCGAGGCGTGCAAATGCTCGAGAGGGAGATTTCTATGAACTTTTCTTGGAAAGGAGCGTTAATTTTGTTCCCACCGAGCTCGTGACCACCCTTCTTTTCCCTTTACGTCAAGACTGTGCGGTGTGGGTGGTGGCTCTACTGGTGGTAGTGGCGGTTTCAGCTATGTAAGAAAAAAGAAGAGAACAACGGGTAACCGGTGTGGATCCACATTGCTCATGTGCCTCCGATCTGAATCTACCATTCTTTGATCTCTGCGTTCTGTAGCTTGATTCAGTCTTTTTCATTAGGGTATTTTAAAATACATTTCATTTCAGTTAATTTATTTTTGATATTTTGTTTAGATACTGAACAAATTATACATTCTGGTGTTTTGGAGTTTTATGATGATCTCGGCCTCTGGCATTTTGGGCTTTGCTATTTGTTGTTGATGATGATGATGATGATGATTCTATGATATTAGGAAATAAGGGATTGATTTGAATCTTGTTGCTTAGAATGAACGAAGTTTCAATTTTCTTTGTATGAGTAGGTAGAACATTTTGAAAATGTTGTTTTCTAGATTATATTTCTCTTAATTTGTTGAATTTATTTGAAAATCTTGACATTTAGATTACATAATTGAAACATTTTTATTGGGTGGATTTCACTTTTAACATCTGATATGGCAAAACCTGAAATTAACATTTGGATCTGTTGTTGAGAAATCGAAGGAATGAGGAAGAAACAATTCATTGATACCCCCCACCAGCATTTTGTTTTTCCTTCATAATTTTCATGGAATCTTGATGTTCTTGTATACTAACGCATTTTCGTTTTGAAGGAAACACTTGGTTGGCGTGATTGACAAGATGTCATTCAAGAACATTGTACGCGAGATGAAGGAGATGAAAGATGGGGTAGGTAGCATATCGAGGCGAGGGGTTGAGGGAAAGCATTGGCGCAGCCGGGCTAGGTCGCATATAGCCCCTGATTTAGCAGCTCCTTCTCAGCCAATCGAGCAAGGGCAGTGGGCGAATTTACCGCCCGAACTGCTTTTGGACGTTATCCGGAGGGTTGAAGAGAGCGTGACATCTTGGCCTGCTAGAACAGTTGTTGTCTTTTGTGCTTCAGTTTGTAAATCATGGAGGGATATAACAAAGGAAATTGTCAAGCCTCTGGAGGAATGTGGGAGGCTCACGTTTCCCATATCATTAAAGCAGGTAACTTTAGTTCATTCATTCATTTTTTTGTTTCATATCCAATATTCATTATGTGTAGTGACTTATGTATGTTTGTCTTGTTTTTATCTATAATTGCAACTAGCCGGGCCCCCGAGATGCTCCAATCCAGTGCTTTATCAAGAGGGATAGGACAACTTCGACTTACTGCTTATACTTTGGTCTTACACCATGTAAGTCACTTTATTTTGCTCAGACATATTTTTACATGTTTTCCATCTTCAGGATTCCATTGAGTGCCAATTACTTCTTTAGAAATGGGATGCTCTGGATCCCTTTATATACAATTTCACTTGCGAGTTTTTCATTTAAACTTAAGATACCTTGCCACATGGACCATACACTCTCAACTTAAGAATTTACAGCTGTGACTTACTGATTGTGGTTTGTGTCTTATTTCAAAAGAAGGCTTCTTTATCTATTCATTTAAAGTTAGATTAATTCGAAACATCTCTCGTGTTCGTAACCTATTGCTTCAATTGATTCATTTGGTTCTAAGTGGACTTGATATGGAAGCTAATTTTGTACCAAAAGTTGAATGTGATTTTGAAATTAATACATACCTCTCTTAAAAAGATTAATGGTCAACTTGTTCTTCTCATATTTAAAAACATTTGTGCTCAACTGCAAAAGTTTGAGTCTCTAATGACTAGTGTCTATTAATGCATTAGTTATAGTTGATAAAAGGAAATTAGCTACAAATTTTTGGGATTTCTCAAGTTTCAGAACTTTCCGGTGAAATTCAAAGATGTGTACAGGAACTACAGTTTTTGTTGCACTACACTAGAGCGTTTTTGTTTTATACAAATGCAACTCGAGAGGTGGATGTTGGTTTTTGGTCATGAATATCCCATGAGTGGCAAATTTCTTCCATTCATGTGTTTGTTGTACTCATCATCGATATAGGCATTAGTATAGCTTCTATCTTATGTCTGCTGCCCTGCAAGTTATTTGAGTGTGGAGTACGGTGCAATGTTGGGAGGATATTGTGCAGATCTATGATGCACCAACACGGACGCATGAATGTGTCGGATACATTGACGCGCAATTTTTAAAAAAAAGTACCGACACAACACATCATCGACACGTTAATTAAATTTGTAAAATTCTTCATTTATACATTATAAATTTAGTTATATACTAATTATTAATTTTTTTGTTGAAATATTTTAAATATGAGTATCTATTTGTTATTTATTAATAATTTTGATTCAAATATATTATATTTCTAGTGAAAAGAGAAAAATAATTATGATAGAGTGTTAGTATCGACATGTGTTGGACACGGACACGTTATCCTAGGTGAAGTGTCCATGCTACATAAGTGCAGATTGTCAATGTAGACTCATTCCTTCATACATGATGGTTGAGGAAATTTGTGAAGTTAGACTAAAGTGGTGAGAGAATGAAAACTAGCCAGCTTCAAAGTAGTGCTGGAAAATGAACACTAGCCATTTTTGAAAATTTCTTACCAAAAGCCAATTCATCGTAATTCAACATTTTCCTCCTTTATTATTCTTCTTCTCTGGTTCTTGAGGTCCCAAAGAAGTGAAATTCTCTTTGATAGTCAGTAATTGAAGAGTATTGGAAAGGAGAATTATTGCACTGACATTGATATTCGTTGCATTTATTGAGAGAGCTACTGGGAGTTGAAAGGGGTATGGGATAAAAAGACATTTTTTCCTTTGACCTTCTTTGAACTCTTGAAATCTTAACTTGACCAACTTGAGCTAGGCAAGTAGATGGCTCAGCTCTCCTACCAATTCGGTTCAGTTAAACTGAATGCGGTTTAATTTTTTTCCCTGCACGTACTCAACAAGACTGATCCCATGTCTCTTGGATGCTATGCTACACTCAACCATTGTTTTCAATTCCCACTACAAAATCACACCAAACTTCAACTATCTTACAAGAAAATTTTAGTGACCATGAAAACGAACTTAACTATTTTATAACTGTCTTTTTCTAATTAATCACAAGTATATTTTAGGCCCCGTTTGGTAGCCATTTTTTTCAAAATGCATTTTTCTCTCTTATTTTTAACCACACATTCTTTATTAAAATAATATTACCCATAAATCAAAAAAAAAAATTTATTTTTCAACCACACATTTCACATCAATTTACTATTCTGAAATGCATTTTTACATAAAAATGTGTATCAAACACCCCCTTAATCGATACCTATAGAGGATGAAAAAAATGTTGGAGTTTATCGTGTGACATAATTTTTGACTGGTCAAGAATAAATTAAATGCTTATTATATTTCTATTATTGATATTTGAGTGGTAAACTTTAAATAACTATCCAATGACTCTGTCGATGTTTACATAGAAATTATTTAATTAATATCTAGTCTCTTCATTGTGCAAGAGGCTTAAAGGTAATATAAGTATACAACAAATCTAGTTATTAGATTTTGGCCTCGTTTGGTTGCCATTTTCTTCAAAATGCATTTTTCTCTCTTCTTTTCAACCACATATTATTTATTAAAATAATATTAAACGTAAATCAAAAACTTTTTCTTATTTTTCAACCACACATTTCACATCAATTTACTATTCTAAAATGCATTTTTACATAAAAATACTTATCAAACACTCTCATTGTAAATCATTATTATTGCAATCATGTCTCATGTCACCAGTTAGGAATTTTATTTCATGTAAATTAAAATATTTTATTGATATGATTCAAAGAGATCAATTATGATATGATATGTTGATTTTAAATTTTTAATAGGAATCAAAAAGAGAGAGAAGTGAGAATTACAAATTTTATCAAAATATATATCGCTCGATTGTATCATTTTATGAATCATGGTTATAGTTATGATTGAAAGCATTATTTGCTCAAAATCTGTCTTCACTTTTAAACTTACGGGTATTCACTTTTAAATCTATCACTTTTTATGTCTTCAATTTTTAACCTATATCTTTTTATGTTAAAAATATTTTCTTATCCACCGACCATTGTCCTAACACCTGAATCTATAAAGAGTGTTGTTGGATCATTGATCATCCAGTTGACCTAGTGTTGTGTACATGTTTTTTCTCTCCCCTCCATAGAAGTAAAATAAGCAAGAGTACGTACTCACGCAAACATGCTTTATGTCAATAGCCAGGTTGAGTCTTGTACAACTATTTTCCTAACTCTTCAACTCCCCAAACTCAATCAGTGAACCCTTACTTTGACTGAACACTATTCTATATCTGAAGTAGAGATTTTCTCCATTTTAATTTAGGAGAAGGCTATTTTCTATCTAGGCTACGGAACGAGTATATTGAAAAATTCCTCTATTGTTTTTATTTTTATTTCTATATTGTCTCATCTCAACATTTGGTACAGACCAACACTCCATTATGGGCTTGCTGTTTTATATGTTTAACTTGATTTCAGCCAGGTTGAGTCTTGTACAACTATTTTCCTAACTCTTCAACTCCCCAAACTCAATCAGTGAACCCTTACTTTGACTGAACACTATTCTATATCTGAAGTAGAGATTTTCTCCATTTTAATTTAGGAGAAGGCTATTTTCTATCTAGGCTACGGAACGAGTATATTGAAAAATTCCTCTATTGTTTTTATTTTTATTTCTATATTGTCTCATCTCAACATTTGGTACAGACCAACACTCCATTATGGGCTTGCTGTTTTATATGTTTAACTTGATTTGCACATCAATTACGAATCATTCCTACAAAGTGCACACAGAACATGTGATGGGAAAAATTGAAAATAACTGCACCTTCCTTTAACTCCGTCCCTAAACTAGCACAAAACATCTCTTATTGAAGATTACTCAACAATACATACCATCATGCGATGATATAAGCCTGTTTCTAATCATAATGGATTGCTCTCTTATTGTAACGCATTGAAATATAGAAGATGAATTAATTACCCATAGAGACCATCACACTAATTATCTTATTAATGGCAGCTGAGGACCAGAGTGACAAACTACTGTTAGCTGCAAAAAAGATCAGAAGGGCAACAAGCACAGAATTTGTAATATCCCTGGTTCGGGATGATTTCTCACGAGCCAGCAACACATACCTTGGAAAACTTAGGCAAGTATTGCTGCGCTATTGTTGTCGAGATATCCGTTTTAGCAACTAATAACTAACTAGAGAACTTGTTCATCAGGTCTAACTTCCTGGGGACCAAGTTCACCGTATATGACAGCCAACCTCCAAATGATGCTGCAGTTCAACATAATAGCTTTCTGAGTCGAAGATTTCACTCTAAACGAGTATCTCCAAGATTGCCTGCTTATAACAATAGTGCTGCAACTGTTTCATATGAACTCAATGTTCTTCGAACAAGAGGTCCAAGGAGAATGCAATGCATCATGCATTCAGTTCCTGTCTCTTCTATACAGGAGGGGGGTGCTGCCCCAACACCAACATCGTTTCCACAAATTATTGAGAAGTCTTCTCCCCGACTGGTCTCAAAAGGGAAGGAGCCAGAAACATATTTCAGCTCCCCCAACCTGTCCCCCAACCTGTCGAGTTTTGGGGAGCCACTTGTTCTTAGAAACAAAGCCCCAAGATGGCATGAACAGTTGCAGTGCTGGTGCCTTAATTTTAAAGGCCGTGTTACAGTAGCTTCTGTAAAGAATTTCCAACTTGTGGCCGCTTTTGATCCTTCTCTTAACATACCAGCTGCTGAACAAGAAAAAGTAATTTTGCAGTTTGGAAAGATCGGAAAAGACATCTTCACCATGGACTATTGCTACCCTATATCTGCCTTCCAAGCTTTTGCAATTAGCTTGAGCAGCTTTGACACTAAACCTGCTTGTGAATGAATGATTTTCTTGCATATCCTTTCCATTTTCTAAATTATGTTTCTTTGCTGTTTGAAATGGGCATATTTTAGTGGAGAATCTTTGATGTGCAGGAAGTAGTTTATCTATTAGCTGCTCAGATATAGCAAATGTTAAGTAAGCTCCATATTTGATATATTTTTGGATACTTGAATGTATTATCATTTCAGCTTGCCAAGATTCTATGTATGTCACCATTAACCGAAAATCCTTATTATTTCTTATTCTATTACCAATTAAAACCATTGAAAAGCGCCCACTAATTGACCACTCTCCAAGCTATATTTTGCTTGGATCCGTTTAATTCTTCAACTCTGTACTCTAAAGAATACACTAAGAACTGTTTTTTCAGCAACAAGATTACCATCCCAACATTTTTCTCGATATATAACTTAATCAAGAAGAAATATTGCTAATTAAATTAGCCCAAATGATTAGGAAACCCACTCAATTTGGGACAGTAGGAGAGAAAGGTAATGTACTGCAAATTATTAAGACTTGGCTACTATCTTAAAAAGTCAACCTTGTTAAGATGAATAATTCAAATCTTCATATATTAGTCTATATTTCGATATTTAATCGATGTAGGATTTATATCTTAATATGACCCGCAAGATGGTTAGCTTATATGAACAAATTAATTTTGAAATATGTGTGTTCCTTTTTTAGTCTTAGCCAACTTGTTCGCTAAAATTTAACGGGTTCTGATATCATATTAAAAATACTGTCAAATCAACTTAGGCTGAATATCATTATGTTGCCATTACTGTCGTTGAACTCAATTGGGTTTGCTATCTCTTATCTAATCTTGGGATTATATGTCATCTTCCTGTCTTTGATTTATTGTTATAACATCGACGTCAATAAATTATGTTCTAACCATATTTTCTATTCAAACATGTTGCCCTTGATTTTCTCTTCATTCGGATCAAGTTCAAAGTGGTGCTCTATGTTTTGCTCACGTGCCCTCAGTCTATCAATTAGCTAATGTTCTTACAAAACAATTTCCTCGTGCACGCTTTCTTGATCTCAAATTCAAGATTGAACTCTGCTCTCGAGCCCAATCTTGAGGGGCATGATAAAAGATTTTATAGAACATCAGATCTTAACCTTATCTTTAGAGACTACTTAGGTGTCATTGTGATATTATCTGAATTTGTTATTGTCATTGATGTATTTTAACGTCAAGATATTATTTTAACTGTATAACTTAGAGTTATCACAAATAATAGGTAATACCTCCGACTTCACATTATACATTTGGTCAATATAATTCATGCATTTCATGCTAATTACATTGTCATTTGCATTAATTTTCTAATTGCTTTCTCTTAAAATGGTGCATTCAATTATCGAGATTTTATATGGTGATAGTCTTCGACTCCTCGACCTAGGTGGTGAATTTTACATTGAGCTATGATAAAAAATTAGATTACCTAAATGTTGGAGATTGGCTTGGTAAGTAATGGAAATATCGAAAAGGTCAAAGTCAGTATCAACAAAGGTTCAAGCTTTCCATTCGGTTGATCAAGGTACCCCTCAAACCCTAGATAGGTAATTGACATACTTGGGACATGAGGTATGAAGTGACATGATCATGATGCAATAATATATGTTTGATATGATGTTATAAATATTGAGGTGCGAATTGTTGAAATCGGTCGAAAATCGGGTATCAATCGGGTAAGTAATTACAGGAACGGTTAAGGAATTAGCTCTATAAAATATTTTGAAAACTTAGAGCAAGTGAAATGGATTGTAAAAAGCCAATGATACTTGATTTGTACCTGCATGGATAGGTGTAACATCATATTTTTACTACAAGTAACCATCTCATGCTTGGACACCTCATACTGGGGATATTTGTCACTTTAACACCCAATTTCTTTAACATTAAGTATCAAACTCATGTCCTACTCCCTAAGTATATATATATCTTATAAGTCATAAATGGATCCAAATATAATGGCAGAAAAGTCAAGTATTGCTGCAAAGAAGCCACAACCTGCTTGGACAACTCATGCTTGAGGATACTTGTTCTTCAACCACATTTTTCTTCACCCTTAAATATCACTCATGATCCCCAATCTTTGAGACTACTTATATATATATATATATAAAATAGGACATTAAACCCTCCAAATTTATCCCCAAGTGACTTCAAGTGAAAGAGAGATCAAGGGAAGCAAAGATAAATAGAAAGAAACAAAAAGCTGGAATTCTGGACAGCTGTCACTATTTTGAGGTTGGTATCCATTATTTTTGAGGGGTTATAATCTCTTGAACATCTTAAATTGATTGTGATTAGGTGGTATGGTTATTGATGATTTCATGATGGAAACATAAGGGTAATTAATTACAAGAAATTGAAAGAAAACAAAAACTGTCACAAGGAAAACTGCCTAATTTGATGTTGTGGAAAAAGGACAATTTTGGAGGTTGAAAACACTTCACTTATCACAACTTTATGAAATGATTACCTTCGTATACATGTCACAAAAATATGGTAAAAATTTGGGAGTCATTGGATATGGTTAAGGGGTGAAAAATGATTGGAAAAATAGTTGGACGGTGATGAAAAACTGAAAAACAGATTCTGTCCATTTACATGTTTGATGTAGTTTCAACCTTTACATGTCCAATGATCATCTCCTGGGACTAGAAAATAGATTCTAGGAGTACTAGGTTGTTGACAACAATTGCATGATGTTGACGGTCATAATTGGACTTGAGAAATATCGAGATTTATGGGGCTAATTTGTAATGACTTCGGTAACTTAAAATTATAATTTCGTCTAAATTGTTTTGGTGTGAATGAACATATTTTGAGATTGTGTGTGTTAAGGTTATTAAATGGAAGATTCTCTTTAATATTAGATGGCAATACAGGTTTTTTCCGACGTTGAGTGAAAAAGGAAACTGATATACAATCCATAGAAGTTTGCACACACAAAGGCGAAAGGTAAGTAAAAATTCATTTTCAACTATGATGCAAAAACTTAGTATTTGTGATATGGTAATTTTGGAATATTTACATAATTTTGATAAGAGGTTTATAGCACATCATATGATGGTTTTGATCATTGAGTATGAGGTTGCGAAACCTGTTGACATCGATTTTCATTAAATATGTCATTCATGAGCATTTTTATCTGCATTCATGAGATGTGATTATGGTTGAAAATCCTGCATATGGAACGTGATTTCAAATTGATTTTTCCTTATAAGAGTTTTATTGACCACTACTAAGGCACCGAGGCATGTAAAACATGTTTATGTGATATGTTTTGGCATCGCGGGTGATACTTCTTGGGTGATTGCAAATGTAGACAGATGATGGACCTTTGGTGATCACGGGAGGGTGGACCACTCGACTATAGCCTTGTGATATTATGATTATTGGCGCTATTGGGTGGGATAATTCTTAGGGGATCATAGAGGTAAGGGGATGGGCCTGTAGTGGCGACGATAGGATGATGCACTTGTCGGTGTCAATTTCATATTGGCCATTTAATTATTGATATTGATATTGATATTATGCAGAGCTCTATCTAGTGCATAGTATGTGGGTCAATGGTCCAATGAAATAAAAACTTTCAAATGAAATGACTTCGAGTTGACTTTAATGAATATTGGAATATGATGTATCTGTAGCATTATGTTTAAAATGAATGACATCGTGTCATATATCATTGTTACTCATACTCATGACATGCATAATTTTTGTTTGCTAAGCATTAGCTTATATAGTTCATACATTGTAGGTGAGCATGGAACTACGTGGAAATCATGGCTGGTTGTGGAACTCTTACAGAATTCCAGAGTTAAATGTACATGGATGACGACTTGTAGCATTATTTTGTAGGTTGTTGTTTTGAGCTTACAGTCTATTATGTTATATTTTGGGGATCCTGTATTTTATAACTTTTGAAATGGCCTGTAGATATGTTTATAACCTTAGAACATATGTGTTGGATTATGGTTATATAATCTTTGATTTTGATATACTATATGATCGTCACAGGTGATTGGGAGTTAACAAACATGGACATAATTGTGAAGATGCTTGTTTCATTTTATCAAATGGAAAAAAATGCATATATGAAATTCTATGTCTAGGTCGAGTCATCAATTTTATTCCCACACCGATTAATGTATGGTTACCTATGTTAATTTGGGGTGTGACATTTTAGCATTTAGGGGGGAAAAAATTTATGGAATTATTGTACAAATATCATATGATAAATGAAAAGTGTAAAAAATTATTTCCAGTTCATCATTTGCTACCAGTAAGAATCAAGGTTATCGGTTAGCTAGTATTTATCGGAGATTTGTGAAAGATTTTAGCACAATCAATACACCACTCATAGAAGTGATAAAGAAGAGCGTGGGTTTTTATTGGGGTGATGAACAAGAACATACATTTAACACTATTAAAGATAAATTATGTAAAACACCTATTTTAGCGTTACCTAATTTTGACAAAACATTCAATATTGAGTGCGATGCATCAGGAATATGTATTGGAGCAGTGTTAATGCAGGAAATGAGGCCTATAACTTATTTCGGTGAAAAGCTAAATGGAGTTGCACTAAACTACCCAACATATGATAAGGAACTATACTCACTCGTTCGGCGTTGGAGACTTGACAGCATTATTTATGGCCTAAGGAGTTTGTGATTCACCAATCATGAATCGTTAAACCACTTGTGGCGTCAAGGGAAGCTAAACAGGAGGCATGCCAAATGGATGGAGTTCATGGAGACGTTTCTCTCGTCATTCAGTACAAGCAAGGTAAAGAAAACATAGTGCCAAATGCTTTATCTCGAAGGTATACATTGCTAAATTCACTAAGTGCTAAATTGCTTGGCTTTGAATATGTTAAGGGTGTGTATGAAAATGACTTTGGACTTTTTCGAAATCTACAATTCATGTGATAAGGGGACTATAGATAAATGCTATAAGCATGAAGGGTATTTGTTTCAGGAAAATAGGTTATGTATTCCCAATTGTTCGATGCGAGAGTTACTAGTGAGAGAAGCACATAGTGGTGGATTGATCGGGCACTTTAGGATGCAAAAGACCTTAGAGATGTTAGGTGAGCATTTCTATTGGCCTAAGATGAAAAGTGACGTAGAAAAAATTTGTAGTCAATGCATAACTTACAAATGAGCTAAGTCTAGAGTTTTACCTCAAAGACTACACACCATTACCTACACCTAGTGAACTGTGGGTTGATATCTCAATGGATTTTGTATTGAGTTTACTTAGGACTAAAAAAAGATGGGATGCAATTTTTGTGGTAGTAGATAGGTTTAATAAAATGGTGCACTTTATATCATGATTCAAGAAAGTGAGTGTTTAACCTTATTTATATTCTGCAAACAAGAATTCAAGAAATCTTGTGAAAATAGTAATTTGTAGGTTATATGGCACAAAAAGTTCCTATTTTTTTGCTTTCAATGTGTAAATCATTCCTACTGTCTCATACCATTCTTTTGCTTTGTCAAATGGTCTCATGCAATCTACTTGTGTTATTTGTCCGAGGTTAATTTGTTCAAGACACTAACTGGCCATCTTTTCACAAAAATTCGAAGGTTGACATACTAAATCTTGAATTTTGGGTGATATATCGAATTTGTTCTCATGAGTTAACAGGTCAAATCTCGAGTTTGTTGGGCAAACTTCGAATTTGTTAGGCAAAAGACAAATATGTTGGGAAATATGAGTTGTGTTCACAAATCTCAATTTTGCTATACAAATATACTGGGGAAATATCAATTTTATTGCTCAAATCTCGAGTTCGCTCAACTACCTAACTATAAAAGTTCATAATCTGGAGAAGTAGGTTTTTGTTGGTGGAGTTGACAGCCAAAGTTAATTTTTATTTTGTGTATTTGATGGCTGAGAGGTTACCGATTCCAACACACCCACTGTGTATGTTAAACCTTGCGGTTAATTTTTATCCTCAACTCCAAATCATAGGCCATTTTTTATGAATAAAATTTAGAGTTCAACGTAAAAAATGAAATACAATTCAGAGTTATGGATCAACAATTATGTAAGTTTGAAGTTAGACATTCAAATAAACTCGGGATTTGTGCATCAAACTCGAGATTTTCTTTACGTACTTGAATTTTGCATAGTAAACTTGAGATTTGTCCCACAAACTCGAGATTTTCATAGCAAACTAAAGATTTGAAGTACGAATTCATAAAATAAATTCGAGTTGTCACCCAGTTGTCAAGATTTCTATTGAGTTGCGAATCTTGAATTTTGCTTTATATTATATCAAACCTTTCTCTCAACTAAATTACATTGACAAATACACGAGTGCACTACACGAGACCATTTAAATTACCAAACGGATAGAATTAGACGACATGGATGATTACACAAAGAATGGTCGGTCTAAGGATATAAATGAGAAAAGTGAAATGATGTGAACAATTTGTGCAATAAAGACAAATATAGAGATGTTTTCAGCCAATTACCCAGTTTCTAGAACTTCTTTTTATTTGAAAATTGTATCGATCCTCTTAGGGATGTCAACGAACCGAGCCGAAACTCAAGCTCGGGCTCTTGGCTCGGCTGGGGTAAAATAAGCGAGCTTTTTTTTGGGACCCAAGCCAGGCCGTGCCAAAAAAACTAGGCTCGAACCGAGCTTCGGCTTAGGCCTTTCCGAGCCGAGCTGGGCAGGCTCCATTTTTGTTTTGGTTTCTTTTTTTATTATTAAGTTAAATGAAGGCAGCACTCGACAACCTTTTAAGGCAACCGAGTGCTGCCATTTTTTAAGCTAGCCTATGCTACCTTTAAATAAGGCAACAACCTGCTGCCTCTTTTGGGCAGCAGTACCCTGCCTAGCATGAAGGCAGCGTGTTGCTGTCTTTTAGTTTTTTAATAAATATAGGCTCGTGAGCCCGAGTCGACGAGTCACACGGGTTGGGTCGGGTTTTGCCCGGCACCCCAAAACAGGCTGAGCCACAGGCAATCCAAGCCAACGAGCCCGATTGCCATCCATAGGTCCTCTATAGCTGGTAATAGGTATAGCTTAGTTAATTTAGCGTGGAACAAGCCCATGGACTAGATT